TTGTTTAAGACAGGGTTTCTGTGTGTAAGGGCTGCCTCTGCAGCCAGAGTACTGGGATTATAGGCATGTGCCACCACCACCACCAAATCAACACATTTCTCAAAATGGAGCTGTAAAGCGGTTTTATCCCCAAAGTGCAGGACCTTTTTCCATACACTGAATCATGTATTTGAAGTAGTGAACAAATTTATTGTGGTCACATAGTCACCATCACTAACCCACAGATTCAAAAGATGTTATGCACAGGCTGGGTGTGCATCTCTAATTGCAGCACTCTGGAGGCAGAGACAGGTGGATCTCTATGAGTTTGAGGCCAGTAAGTTTCAGGCCAGCTATAGAGAGTCCCTGTTTCAAAATACACACACACACACACACACACACACACACACACACACAACAACGGCAGGGGAAATGGTTCAGTGTATAAAGGTACTTGGGGCCAAGCCAAATGACCTGAGCAGGTGAAATGGTTCAGTGTATAAAGGTACTTGGGGCCAAGCCAAATGACCTGAGTTTGATCCTTAGAACACTCATGGAAGAAAGAGGGAACCAACTCCTGCAAATTGTCCTCTGACTTCCACATGCATGCTGCAGCAGTTTGCACACACTCACACAAGCAACAAATAAATAATAAGTAAGTACAACAACTGTAATAAAAAGATAACACAGTGTTGAATTACTCTGTTAAATTCTTTTCAGGACAAAACAAAACAAACAACAAAAACCAGCCAAGAGGTAGTGATGCACTCTTTTAGTCCCAGCACTCGGGAGGCAGAGGCAGGTGGATCTCTGTGAGTTTGAGACCAGCCTGGTCTACAAGAGCTAGTTCTAGGACAGCCTCCAAAGCCACAGAGAAACCCTGTCTTGAAAACCCAGAAGAAACAATTATTTTCAGGTAGCAATATCATAGGAACGGCATTGCTGTTTTTTCCAGTGTTGTGTTTATAACCATTTACAGAGTTTCTTAGTAAGTTCGTGATGGCTGGAGTTGCTCTAAGTATGTGATACACTGTAGCTCTTTTATTTGATAATTAGTATCTAGATTAAGCTAAAATGAAGTGTGTAACACGTGGTGTCATATTATGACTAAGTTCAGGAATAAGTGTTTTGTTTTGGTTTGTTTTAGTAAAAGAAATAGGTGTTTCCTTGTCTCATATGGAAGCACACACACAACAAACAAACAAACAAACAAACCAAACCTGAACAGCCAAAGGCTTCCTGGACAACAACAAACAATGCTGGAAGTATCACCATAACCAACTTTCATATACATTGTAGAGCCATAGTAACAAAGACATCATAGTACCGGCACAGATACAGAGACATAGATAGATAGAAAAGAAGACACAAATAAACTCATGTAACTATAGCCAACTAGTATTTGACAAAGATGCCAAGTACACACATTGGTGAAAAGCCAGCCTCTCTAACAAAAGCTGTTGGGAAAGCTGGATATCTGAATGTGGAAGAATAAAATTAGTTCCAAATCACTCATCCTGTACAAAAATCAATTCAACCTGGATCAAAAACCCTAATATATGACCCCAAACCCTGAAACTTCTAGAGGAAAACACTTCAAGACATGGGTATAGGAATAGGCAAAGCCTATCTGAGAAGGATTCTGGTAGCTCAGGAATAATATCAAGAATTTACAAATGGGATTGTGTGGAATCCAAAGGTTTCCATCCACCAAAGAAAACAAGTGAAGAGAAGCCTGCAGAAGAATATAAAAATCTTTGCAGCCACACATCTAAAAGAGGGTTAAAATCTATAATTTATTTAAAAATTCAAAAAGCTGCATAGCAAAGTTACAAACTAATCAGTAAATGGGCTAAAACAGTCAACAGGAAGTTCACAAAAGATGAAGTTCAAATGGCCAATAAATATGTCAAAGAAATGTTCAACATCGTCCATCAGAGAAAACAATATTGAGATTCTATCCCACCCCAGTCACAATGGCTATCATAAAGAAAGCAACATGCTGGCAAGGACTCGGGGAGGGAGAGCTTACACACTGTCTGTGGACTGTAAATGAGTGCAACCACTAGAGAAATCACTAAAGAAGTTCCTTAGTAAACTAAAAGTTTATCTTTACCATATGACCCAACTATACCACTCTGGCGTATCTACTCAAAGGACTCTAAGTAACAAAAAAAGAAAAGAAGAAGCAGAGGAATAAGAAGGAGAAGGAGAAGAAGAAGAAAGGGGAGGAGCAGGAATAGGAGAAGGAAGAGGAGGAGGAGGAAGAGGAGGAGGAGGAGGAGGAGGGAGAGGAGGAGGAGGAGGAGGAGGAG